TACTTTAACTTAAATCCTGTATACATGGACAAATTCATAGAAAGACACAAACTACCAAAACAGACTTCAGAAGAATAGAAAATATGACAAGAGATTGAAGCTTCACTGGTGAACTCTATCAAATAGCTAAAGAAGGGCCGTGCATGGTGGCTCATGCCTATCATCCAAGAACGTGGGGTGCCGAGGGAGAGAGGGTCACTTGAGCCTACGAGTTCAAGACCAGCCTGGGCATCATAGAGGGACCCTGTCTCTACAAAAAAATTAAAAAATTAGCCGGGCATGGTGACGTGTGTCTGCAGTCTGAGCTACTTGAGAGGCGGAAGTGGGAGGACTGCTTGAGTCCAGGAGGTAGAGGCTGCAGTGAACCATGATCGCACCTCTGCACTCCAGCCGGGGGGACAGAGTGAGACCTTGTCTCAGGAAAAACAAACAAACAAACAAAACATTTAGCTGGACATGGTGGCTCACATCTGTTATCCCAGCACTTTGGGAGTCTGAGGCGGGTGGATCACCTAAGGTCAGGAGTCCAACACCAGCCTGCCCAACATGGTGAAACCCCATCTCTACTAAAAATACACACGCACACACACACACACAAATTATCTGGGTGTGGTGGCACACGCCTGTAATCCCAGCTACTAAGGAGGACGAGGCAGGAGAATCACTTGAACGTGGGAGGTGGAGGATGCCGTGAGCCGAGATCAATCCACTGTACTCCAGTTTGGGTGACAGAGAGAGAGACTCCATCTCAAATAAAAAATTAATGAACAATTAATACCAATTCTTCAAAGCAATCTTCCAAAAAACAGAAGAGGAAGAAACACTTCCAAACTCTTCTATTACTATAAAAAGGATTACATGTCATGACCGAGTGGGATTTATCTCGCGAATGCAAGGTTGGCTTAACATCAGAAAAATCAATCTGTGTAATTCAACATATTAATAGAACAGAGGACAAAAACCTCACGGGCGTCTCAACGGATGCAGAAAAAGCATTTGACAACACTCAACTTTCTTTTTTATAAAAAAGACCCCACAAACTAGGAATAGAAGGGAACTTCCTGAATCTGATCAACAGCATCTACGAAAAACCCACAGCTAACATACTGCTCAATGGTGAAAGACTGGAGGCTTCCCCTAGATACAAGCCAAGAAAGTCCACTCTCACCGCTTCGATTCAACATTGTAATGGAGGTTCCAGCCAGGGCAATTAGGCAAGAAGACAAAATAAAAGACATCCAGCGTGAGGTAAACTGATTTCTATTTGCAGGTGACATGATTTTGCATACAGAAAGAATCCAGAGAAAAACCCAACAATAAAGCTCATAATGAGTTCAGCATGGTTTCAGGATATGAGATCAATATAAAAAATCATTTGTATTTCTATATATTAGCAATGAATAATCTGAAAATTTAATTAACATAGTAATTCCATTTATGACAGCATCAAGAAAAATAAGATACTCAGGAATAAATTTAACAAAAAAGCAAAACTTGTACACTGAAAACCGCGAATATAACTGAAAGAAATTAAAGAACATCTAAATGAATGGAAGGGCACCTCATGTCCATAGGTTGGAGGACTTACTATGTTAAGATGACAGTACTCCTGAAACTGATCCACAGATTAACACAATCCTTATGTGTGTTAATGGGGAATTGTATGATAGGTGAATTGTATGTCAAGACAGCTGTTACCGGATCCCCCACCTCACAGATCCCTGGTAAAAGAAAAAACCATATACAGTGTCCCTCTGAATCCACAGGGAATTGCTTCCAGAACCTCCTCTGCCACTGGATACTAAAATCGGTGGAGGGTGAAGTATTTTACATAAAATAGTGTCGTATTTGGACATAACCTACACACATCCTCCTGTATACTTTGAATCATCTCTAGAATACAGAATACTTCTAACACCTAATACAACATAAATGCTATGGAAATAGTTGCTACACTGTATTGTTTTTTTATTTATATTTTTGTTGTTGTTTTGTTATTTTTATAGTGTTTTTTCCTTGAATGGTGTCGATCCACGGTTGGCTCAACGGGGGCTGACTGTACATACATGGACTGACCTTTTCCTGCCTGAGTAAAGCCTCTTCTCAGAGTCAGTCTGCTGTGTGGAGTGCCCTGTGGTCTTTCCTGCATAGCTGCATCCGTAAGACATGGATCTAACAACCTTTTCTGTGTTTTTAAAGTGGGGCTAGAGCTGAAAGGTGCTTGTCAAGCAATGTGTATGTGGATTCCCTCTAGATTTTATTTTTATTTTATTTATTTTTTTTGAGACAGAATCTTGCTCTGTCACCCAGGCTGGAGTGCAGTGGCACAGTCTTGGCTCACTGCAACCTCCGCCTTCCAGGTTCAAGCCATTCTCCTGCCTCAGCCTCCTGGGTAGCTAGGATTACTGGCATGTGCCACCATGCCCAGCTAATTTTTGTATTTTTAGTAGAGATGGGGTTTCACCATGTTGACCAGGCTGGTCTCGAACTCCTGACCTCAGGTGATCTACTGGCCTCCAAGAGTGCTGGGATTACAGGCATGAGCCACCACACCTGGCTCCTCTAGATTTTTATCAGCATTTATTGCAACCGCCATAGTTGTCTCACTTGCATCGAAATGAACAGCAATATATTCAGCAGCACCCGTTCACCGAACCTTTCCAAAGAACTCAACTGTGTTGTACCAGAAACAATTATCTTTCTGCACTCATATTTCCTGGCTTTACATAGTACTAGAACATGTAATTACAACAAACATCACTGGCATAAACGAGTTAGGAATAGCTACAACTGTCCCTTGGAAAGCTTATGGCCCAGGTTCTTGGAGCAGAAATGGTGCAGGGGTGAACTGCGGATGCTACTAGTAGGGAATGGTTTGCCCAGCCAGCCTGGCTCAAGCCTCCAGCCCACACGGCAAGACCCAACCTCCATGTGGCCACCATGTTCCTTCAAATCCCATTCCCACAGAGGAATGGACTCATCCCGTAAGCAGCTCTATGAGGACAGCAGGGCACACACTTTATCTTCTTTACAGCCGAGGAAACGGGGTCCCACAGGCAGTGATGTGCCCAAGATCATGCCAGTCCCACAGGCGCCATGGCCACCCACCACCAGCTCTCTTTTGCCTCCCCCATGACTCTGAAGCCTGGCAGCAGAGCCCTGGGCTCCCACGGCACCCGTCACAGAACGGAAAGGATGTGCTGGCGGGAAGCCTGATATTTCTGCTTCCAAGCCAGGGGTGTAAGGCAAACTCACCCACAAAGTACTCAGTGAGGAAACAATAGGGCTTCTGAGGGCAGCCGCTGTCGCCACTGCCTGCCCTTCCCTCGCACAGGACTTTCTGCTGGTAAAGAGCCTCAGCCACCACGTCTGCAGACATTGCTGCGACGTCCCAGTGACAGACTGACAGTCCCTGCACGTTTCAAATCAAACAGTTCACATGTATTAGAGATCCCCAGGCCTCCCATTCATTCCACTTCACAGGCGAGGAAACTGAGGCACAGGTAGGTTCAGTGACACACCCAGAGTCACCTGCCTCGAATGCAGAAGAAGGGACTCAGACCCTGGCGCTCCTGGCTTCAGACACACGGCTCCATGGCGGCTCATGCCCCACCCATCGCAACTACAGCGTGTCTCTGCACACTGCTGCTATAATCGTATATGCTCTCATAAACAGAATTTACTTTATTCTTATTTCGTTGGCAATTTTTATTTTAACGCATAAAACCAGGAGAATGCGAACTTTCAGCATTTACATGCCTTTAGTTCTGTAAGTTGGTTGAACTGATGTGATATTTACAGATCAATAGTAAAATCTGCTGAGGTGAGGAGAAACCCCTGGTACTTAACCTTTCCTTTACAGAACACGCTGGAGAAAATTGCCAACATGAGGCCCCGGTGAACAAGGGCAGAAGTTCATGGTTACCGAATAACTGCTTAATTAGATACCTTTCAGAAAACTGCAGCCTCCCAGAAAGGGCAGCCTGGCTGTGACAGCTGTGTGGATATACACCGGGAGGGAGAGACTCCCGTGGCATGCAATTAGGACCAATGAATTTTTAACGTCTTGGTAATGATGCTCTCTGCCCCTGTATCTTGATTAACTGATGTTGACTGCCACAGGGTGAATGACAAAGAAGAGAACATAAAAAATCCCACTATAAGAACCAGCTGCCTTTTCTTGCCTAAGATGCATAAAACATTGTGTGGGAAGCAGGGTAGGTCTCAAACAGGCAAATTGAGAGACAGAGAGAGACAGACAGACACACACACATAGACATTCCTACCCTTACGATATTTTTTCATCAATTTCTCTTTGTTGTACTCAGTAGCATTCTGATCAGTAGGCTGTGTTCCATTCACACCGAAAACAGGAAGAGCCTTCACTATTTATGAGATGTGTATTTATAAATGTGTGTTAATAACTCACATATTATAACATGTGTTAGTGAACCATGCTCCTGGCCTCCTTGCTGCCCCTGGGAGCGGCAGGTCTTCCTGTGTACGACCCTGGGCAAAGGGCCAAATGATGGCCAGTGACTGGCCGCTGGAGTACGAGCTCAGGGTTCATTAGCAAATCAAAAATGCACAGGTTAGCAATTTTCCAATTGGAAAAGAACTGATCTTCTAACACCCCTAAACTTCCTGGATTAAAAGAGAATTCTGAAGCCCGAGGAAGGCACCTTGCTTTGGAGTCCAGGGGATGTCCAGGGCTGCAGGAATTTCACGACATGGACTCAAGGGCACATGCCAGGGGCCAACCTAGAGAACACGACAGTGGCAGACCCCTGTCAATATGGAGCTCCAACAACACCTAAAATAAATACATCAGCGGCGCCACATGTGCAGATGCTTGGTCTTCCAGAGGGCAACACAAGGCAAACTCCAGGTGCCATGGACCGTCAGGGGCCACTATCCTTACCACATCTAGCTGAAGCCAGAAGCGTCCACTTCTACACTGGTTTCAAAATGGGTAGAGGAGGAGGGGATCAGTCACTCACCATCTGCAGGACGTCAGAGGAGACCATCTGCATACAGCACATGGCTGTGGCCAGCGCACACACGATGGTGGACAGGACGTTGAGGGCGCACACGCTGAAGAGGAGATCCTGCAAGGAAAGGGGCAGGAGAATGTCAGCCTCATCCCAAAATCCCAGATGGCAGAATCCTTAGACCTCCTGCCAGGGCCCAGAATGAGCGAGGTCGATTGCCATCCTTTTCACAGAGGTTTTGTTTTGTGTGTGTCTGTGTTTTCTTATAATCAAAATTGGCCTTTCATAGAAACACATTTGTCTATTCCATTACAATGATGATCAAAGTATTCATAATACTCAACGTGTTTTACAATTTTGATAATTATTAGGTAGTCAGTAACATGTCTAAGAAAATCATAAGGTGGCCAACATTTAAGGAGGTGGGCAATTTTTATCAATCACAGCCTATAACTCAAGTGAAACTTTTTATCTTGAGATAGTTGTATATTCACATGCAATTGTAAGAAATCCTACAGTGAGATCCTGGGTACCCTTTACTCGTTTTCCCTCAATGGTAACATCTGGCAAATCTATAGTTCAATATCACAGCCAGATACTGACATTGGTATAGTCAGGATGCAGAACAGTCCCATCACCACATGGGTCCCCCCCATCGTTGACCTTTTATAGACACACTCACCTCTCTTTCCCTGCTCCCCACTTAACCCCCAGTTCTGATCCCCTGTCAATCACTAGTCTGTTCTCCATTTTTTATAATTTTGTCATTTCAAGAATGTTGCATAAGTGGACTGCACAGCATGTAACCTTTCAGAATTGGCTTTTTCCACTCAGCATAATTCCCTTTAGACTCATCTCAGACTTCCAGACTTCAGGGCTGTGAGAAGTGACTGTTGTTAGAGCCACCCAGGCTATGGTATTTTTGTAATAGCAGCCTGAACTGACTAAGACTCTATATGAAATATGAAAAGACAAGCTACAGTCCGGGGGAAAATATTTGCAAACCACCTATCTGACAAAGAACTAGTACCTAGAATACATAAAGAACTCTCATAACTCAACAGTCCAAAAAAAAAAAAAAAAAAAGCAAACATTGCAATTAGAAAATGGGCAAAAGACATGAACAGACACTTTACCAAAGAGGATCTCCAGATGGCAAATAAGCCCATGAAAAGATGGTCAACATCATTAGCATCAGGGAAATGCAAATTAAGACCTTTTATAAAGGGGTATCATTATGCACCTGTGAGAAGAGCTAAAATACAAACAGTGACACTAAATGTTGGCAATCATGCAGAGAAACCCAATCACTCATACACTGCTGGTGGGAATTAAAAATTGTTCAGCCACTCTGGAAGGCATTTTTGCAGTTTTTAAAATAAAACGAAACATGCAATTACTGTTCAAATCAGCAGTTGTACTCTTGGACATTTATCTTGGAGAAACAAAAACTTATGTTCACACAAAAACCTATACACAAAGGTTCACAACAGCTTTATTTGTAATAGCCCAAAACTGGAAAACTGCAATACCAAAAACCCAGATATTCTTCAGTTGTTGAGGATTAAACCATGTGGTACATCCATATGGTAGAATACTACTCAGCCTGTTGGATTTTGGTAAGGGCCTGCTTCCTGGTTGAAGATGGCTAATGTCTCACTGTGTCCTTGCTTAGTGAAAAGAGGGCAGGGGAGCTCTCCAGTGCCTCTTTTAAAAGTGTACTAATCCCATCACGTGGATTCTACCCTTATGACCTAACAACCTCCCAAAGGCCCCGCCTCTATTAAATAATCACATACTGGGAATGAGAATTTCAACATATGAATTTTGGAGGGATACAAGCATTAAGTCCATGATATCTGAGTTTTTAAAGAACAAAAATTTTTAATGTTCATGAGATCCAACTGATCAACTTTTGTTCCATACTTTTGGTGTCAAGTCTAAGAACCTTGTCAAGCCCCAGATTATGAACAGTTTCTCCCATTTTTTCTAAAGGTTTTTATAGTTTCATATTTTCCATTTAAGTCTATGCTCCATTTTTGTTTTGAGATAGGTCTTGCTCTGTTGCCCAGGCTGGAGTGCAGTGGCACAATCATGGCTCACTGCAGCCTTGACCTTCTAGGCTCAAGTGATCCTCCCACCTCAGCCTCCTAACTCAGACCACTCATGCATACCAGTGTGCCCAGCTAATATCATCCATTTTAAGTTAAATTTTGAATAAGATGTGAGTTTTAGGTTGAGGTTCCTTTTTATGTTTTTAATTTCATTTTCCAAATGTTCATTGTTAGTACATACAAATGTGATTGATTTTTGTATGTTTATGTGATATCTTGAGACTTTGCTGAAATTATTAGTTCTAACAATTTTTTGAAGATGCCAGGGGATTTTCTATGTAGACAATCAGGCCATCTGGATTGTTTTATTGATTTCCTTACATTTTGTCTTTATTTTTTGCCTTGTAGTGCTAGCTAGAACCTTGAGTATTACAAATAAAAATATAAGATGACTAAGATAATGAAAGCAGACATCTCCGTCTTGTGCTCTGTCTTAGAAGGTAAACTTCATGGAGTTTTAACAGTCCAAGTGCAATATATCCTTCATCGAGAAGTCTACTCTCAAATCTATGCCAGAAATAGAAAAAAAAAAAAAGATTTAGAATGATAGTATGTCCTTCAATTAAATCTTTTCATATACAAGTGTACAAAATACTGTACACACTCAAAAACCTATCAAAAGCAAAAAGCTACAGATGAATCTTTCACCACAAAGGGATGGCATTAATCAGATTAGTATTAATTATCTAATCAAGGGATTGGCAAGTCCTTGAGAGGAGATGGGGAATGCCGCCCTCACTGACATGCCCTGTGCGTACGCTAGGATGTGTGCACACAGAGTCTAGCAGCATCCTCAGGGTTCGTTCATGTGTACATGAGCCCATGTATTCCAATCTGTAACATCTGCTGGACAGTTCCCTGTTCTAGAGGCATCACAGCCCCATCCCCTTCCTCAGAATCTGCTCATCAGTTCTCAAGCCCACACTGTGAAACAGTAAAGAAGTGCGATTAGGATATTATGGAAGGTGGTTAACATACAGTATTTAAACACTTTCCCAAATTTATAGAACCCTGTACACATGTGAAGACAGAAAAATGAGTCCTGAACTTAAGAAGCGTTAGGCAGAACCGGCCGGGTGTGGTGGCTCACGCCTGTAATCCCAGCACTTTGGGAGGCCAAGGCGGGTGGATCACGAGGTCAGGAGATTGAGACCATCCTGGCAAACACGGTGAAACCCTGTCTCTACTAAAAATACAAAAAAATTAGCCGGGCGTGGTGGCAGGCACCTGTAGTCCCAGCTACTCGGGAGGCTGAGGCAGGAGAATGGCGTGAGCCGGGGAGGCGGAGCTTGCAGTGAGCCGAGATCGCGCCACTGCACTCCAGCCTGGGCGACAGAGCGAGACTCAATCTCAAAAAAAGAAAAACAAAACAAAACAAAAAAAAGAAGCGTTAGGCAGAACCAAGGCAAGGCTCAGTCTAGGGCTAACTATTCCCCACTTCGGAGGTAAGGCCTATCTGAGTCCCTGAATGATGCAGGAACAGGCGCTGTTCCTGTGTGAGCACCAGGCACTGTTACCACTAAACCTTTCAGGCAGTTCTTTTCCCAGACTCAGGTCGTTTCTCCATATGCAGGTGCTAACCAGCATCCAACTGGCAACTCCAGGCAGACCCTCTGAAGGCCCCCTTGGTTCTCTCCTGGTGCAGCTCCGCCCTCGCTGGTGCTCTGTTCTGAGAACTCTCATCTCCAGGCCTTGATCCCCCTCAGACTCTCAGCTCTTTAAGCCCACCTCAGGGAGTCTGCGGGGACCCTGCTGAGTTCCCTTCCCAGCACTGAACCTGGAAACTCTCTCAAGGCAGTAAGCTGGGGCAATCACAGGGCTCACCTCGTTTACTGCCCACCCCTCAGGGATCGGGGTCCCTCATTGCCTGATAGTGTCTTCCTACACCGTGTGCATTTTCGGGGGCTGTTTCAGGCATGAGGTTAAATCCAGTGTCCTGCTACTCCATCTTGGCCAGAAGCTCTCAGTGGCCTTTTTGTTTGCATTTTCTATTTTATTTTATTTTATTTTTTTGAGACGGAGTCTGGCTCTGTCGCCCAGGCTGGAGTGCAGTGGCGCGATCTCGGCTCACTGCAAGCTCCGCCTCCCGGGTTCACGCCATTCTCCTGCCTCAGCCTCCCGAGTAGCTGGGATTACAGGCGCCCACAACCGCGCCCGGCTAATTTTTTGTATTTTTAGTAGAGACGGGGTTTCACCGTGGTCTTGATCTCCTGACCTTGTGATCCGCCCGCCTCGGCCTCCCAAAGTGCTGGGATTACAGGCGTGAGCCACCGCGCCCGGCCTTTGTTTGCATTTTCTAAGTGTTTGTAGCAGGACTAGGCGGACTGCCTTAGGGATCCTGTGCATGTGACTATAGGCATCTCCACTGCCTTCCCTGCTCCTGCGGCTGCTAGAGGTAGAGCAGGATGGGGGCTTCGTTGTAGCAAACAGGAGGCACAGGTGGGGCTGGAGGGAGGCTGAGGAGCCTGGATTGTATTTTCCAGGTGATGGAATGCCACCGAAGATGTGTGATGCTGGGAAAGTGGTCATACAACCTGTTTTTTTGTTGTTGTTGGTGGTGGTTTTTTTTGAGATGGAGTCTTGCTCTGTCGCCCAGGCTGGAGTGCAGTGGCCTGATCTTGGCTCACTGCAATCTCCATCTCCCAGGTCAAGCGATTCTCCCGCCTCAGCCTCCTGAGTAGCTGGGTCTACAGGTGCCCACCACCATGCCTGGCTAATTGTTTTTGTATTTTTAGTAGAGACGGGGTTTCATCACGTTGGCCAGGCTGGTCTTAAACTCCTGACCTCAAGTGATCCACCCGCCTCGGCCTCCCAAAGTGCTGGGATTACAGGTGCAAGCCACTGCGCCCGGCCCATGCAACCTGTTTTCACAATTGATTGAGAAAGATACCTTTGCAGGGAGGGCCTAGCACAGAACTAGAGATGGAGTAAACATCGGCTGAGGTGAGAGAGTGGACACAGGGCAGTGACCTGTGAGGAGGTACTGGAGAGGAGTCAAGCAGA